CCTAGGAAGACCAAAGGGAAGTCTCCTAAGTTGTCTTCTCCATGGGAAGGCCCATATGACATAGCGGATCGTCTCTCAGACGTGACTTTCCAGGTAAAATGCGGTCGGCGAGGTAAACCAAAAGTGGTGCATGCCAACAGGCTTTGGCGTTATCACGGTCCAGGACATTTCAGCTGGGACGAAGTAGGCCACAGAACAAATGACACTGCTGAAGACGTGGCACCTGAAGAAGCCACTGTCGAAGAAGAAACTCTACTCAGTTTTGAGAAGGGAAACGATGAAGCTCTTGATGAAGTTACTACCACTGATGTGACTGTTACCGATGATAGAACATTTCCTGATGAAGTAGATGAACCCCACGTGAAGCAGAAGCCAACGAGACGGAGACCAGTACGGAAGAAGATACGTCCCGTAAAATTAAGCAGAATTACAAACACAAAATTACAATTCAACAAAGTCTCTCCCACTACTCGTATATTGCGGGTCGAACTCCCTAACTACCAGGTCATGCAGACCTTCATTCATTGATAACTCCATGGTATATTAATGACGTTTCAATTTTATTAAGTAACATAATGTTTGGCATTATATCCTTTTTTTAAGTAATTTGAAAGTTCAAAAAGCAATCACGTTAAAATGAGCTGAGATAATACTTTCAAAAAAATGTTTTAATCTGAGCTATAATTCCCTGGTACATTTGTTTGTATTATTATACATTACTATTTTTGTGGTAAAATAAAATATTTTTGTCATAAAACTGAAGTTAATGGTCTTTTCACTTTGCATCAGGTATGGTTTCTGTACATAGTTAATGTGGTTCTTGTGGTATCGATTTCAAATTTTCAGAGATATTTCTCCATAACACGCACAAGTCTAATTAATTAGTTTCGGGCGTGGCCTAGTAATTAGCGTGTTGAGCTGTGATTCTGAGGCTCTATGGTTGGCGTCTCGTTGCCACAAAATTGTGCCCTTCACTTTAAGGAAGGCTGTGGCTGCTTTATGAGAGTGACTATCAAATCCCTCTATTCAATTAAAGTAGCTCAAAAGTTTTGTAGCTTTGTACCAATATCCGAAACAAAACAAATTAATCAAACATGAGTGTCACTGAATTTTATCGGCCATTTGTTTATATATCGGTTAGGAAAATACGCATGCGCAGTTGACCACCATTAATCTCGTCTAAGAATGACAGTGGTAGTGAGAGTTAACGAAATTCCACAGAGCTACCAATCTCAGGTTTATATATGTTTCTGCATACACATACATGGGCTTGCCTGTGCGACAACTCATTAATAGTCATTAATAGTTCATTAATTAATGAATCTTGCTCTTGGAATATACTCTACGTGAAATATACAAAAATAAAATCACACCGAATAAAACAAACATGTCTAAATTTTTCAGTGAAAAAGACTCGTCTGATTTTTTTAATGTACACGTAATTCTGAGCGTTTTTCTTCTCAATTGGTATTTTTGTCGATGTGGTAAATAAAATGACCTACTTCTTACACATACTGCCCAGAAAAATTGTTTTTAATAATTATCTGGTTGCATAGTGTTGCTTATATATACGTAGAGAGAGTATTCTTTTTTTCGTACATGCAACTGTGTGATTTTATCAAGAGTGTTTTAAGCAATACTAGGAATCTAGATTCGTACATAGAAAATAACGCTGAAATGTTTATGTACAAACAATCATTTAATAAATAAAGGTTGAATCACTTATTATACACAAAATTATCTCAAACAGCAGCATAAGTTAGAAAATCAGTCAAAACAGAACGAGAAAATGCGCCCATAATTTCTGCTACGTCAATTTAATATTACCCAAATATTGTAATTTTTGTTTACAGCTATGGTCAAAAGTTTTGCATCAACCTAGAATCTTAGGAATGAAACATCATTACAGAATTATATGAACATACGTTATATATTTTATTTAACATAATTGAATCAAAGAAACTACAAAATTATATCACAAAATTTACAGGAAACCATAATAGTAATACTTAGTACTTGTAGTACGTTCCCCAGTTTTTCAATACTTCCTTAAAATTCTCTCAGACATGGACACAAATAAGGCGCTGAAGAGTCGAGTTATTCTTTAAATTCAACAATGCAGCCTTTAAACGTAACATTATTCGTCAGTTTATATTGGATTTTATGAAGCAAAATAAAATGCTTCTGGAGTTGTAGCCGTAGATAGAAAAATTGATACTCTTTCGAAATCAAAGCGCCCTTTTCTCATTTTGAAGTTTTTAAAAGTACTGTAATTAACCTAAAAATTCCCCATTTGTACCCCGAACACCATTTAATAGTTTAACAGAACTGATATTATGGACTGGCGTTGCGACTTGCTTTTCGATAAATCAATAGAAAATGTTTTGGAAAGATTAAGTGAAACAAGATTTATGAACTTATATTTATTCTATTTATATCTTATTTCGCTATGATGAAATAAACAATTACAAATAATTTATTTATACAGTAAAAAGCATGTAATATTTCATGGTAGAAATGCTGCAAAATATATGATTTTACAAATGCTGAGACGAAATATGAAAACTGACGATACACCAATCTTAAAACGTCATATCCGGAATATAAATATTTTCCTTTAAATGATCCAACTAACGTTTATTTTAGTATTAAAGCTAAATCTTACCAGAAACTGATTATAATCTACTCATAAAATTGTACTTTACAATTCGATAAATATTTCCATTCCTCGCAAAATTATCAAGCTTAAATTTTGTATTCAACTTGCAGAAATGAAATTTTATATATTTGTTTATATACTTACGTTCAGAAATTATATGTAATTATATACTTATAATACTTTGCAAACGAAGTACAGTTTCTTCAATTGCAAAACAGTCACAAATGATGAAAGTTTGAAGAAAAGGAACTGTTTATACAGATAGATGGTTATTAATGAAAGTTAATACGGTATTCAAACATGCTTAAAGAAAGACTTACTTCTTTCCAAAGTTCCTACTCGTGATGGTATTCACATCCTCATAGTTGCGAGTTTCATCACCCCGAGGCAGGAAAGATAAGTTAACGATATTTAGATAGAAATAAGTCAGTGTTAGAGTAAAAAGTCCCAGGAAGATTACTTTTTTCTGCATCTAAGAACCTTCACCTGAAAAGTAATGTAAATTTACTGTTAATTATATTTTTTATAAATGTCGAGATATTAGTTCAGTAGCTGGTATGTTTCTGTTATCGAACTAGAAAGATGAGTCGAACCTATTCAAAGATCAACGTAGGCACAGTTTTGTCACAGTTGTTATGAGAGGAATCCAAAAATATGACAAGCAAGCTGTGCATCCTAGGTCTATAGCAAATGTCACATACAATTGGCCATACAAGAATCGCATGAAGCAGATGTTATAAATATGCTGTCACGTGACAACACAGACTTTTTATTGTTGTTGGCGGTGTGTATTTAAAACTGAAGCTAGTATATATAAGTAAAATATATCTGCGAAATTGCATGCTTTTTATTCATCCAGGAATCCGTCTAAATATTTTGGTAGTTTTTAAGAAAGGTAAAAGCCAGAAGGGTAAAATAAAGATTCATATTTAAATAGAATTAGTAAGGAAGTATTCAATATTGGCTGCCTGTGTTTCTATATTTGCAAAAAGAAAAAGAAATTAATCCTGTAACAAAATAAATAAAGAAGCTTTCAGCAATAATAATAACACATGCCGAAACTAGAACTAATGATTTCTAAGGCACAATATGGTGGTTACAATGCAACCTATACAGCTTTTTGTTGCACTTATTCTTCTGTTGCCATGCCAATGACCATTCCAGCGTGAAGATGACTAGCTAAATGTTCATACTTACACACTAACACTGGTATAGTACACATACTCAAACAGATCAGTGTTCGAACAAGTGTAACCTGCTGATTCACTGAGGACATATATTGCTATGTCAGTTTTAAAGTTTCGTTGGTATGCTTTGCTGACTGAAAAGGCTCCTGACTTTATCCAAAATCTGCTAAATCGTAGTGATATGTCACCTGATCTGCCTTACGAAATTAGAATGAAATGCATCAGAATTCTTCTAGGATGTTAATGCGTGTCTTGGAGTCTCATGTCGACCACCCAAGTAAGTATTGGAACATTCAGGTCACTCAGTACCACCATAACCCTTCACTGATGCTTTCTTACTCTGCATAACTGGAATAACCATTGGAGGTTGTGCTGGGTTAATCTTGGATTGTCCAGCAAGGTGCCCATCCACCTCATGTTCCAATGATGGATTGAAAATATGGACATCGCTCTCACTATTAATGGCAAAGTATCTGGAACTAAGAGATGATTCTCCTATTCCTTGCCACATTCTCAGATCAAGTCCTCACTTACACCATAGTTTCTTTCTTTCTACTGTACGTTTTCATATGATCTCAGAAAGGTTCGCTCCATGATAACACGATTTACCAAAACTATAATGTCACATATATTTCAACATAAAAAGAAGCATGTTCAAAATAAACTACATCATAACAAATCCTAGTCACTGAACTAAACAAAATGCTACTTTTTAAATAACTTATGTTAACTCTAAACAGTAGCTTCAAGTATCCACAATATGTCATTGCAGGGTAAGCTCTATTATACAAATGGTGCACATCGTATTGTAAGTGGTGAAGCTTTTTATGGCACCAGTTTTCCAAGTCTTGAACTAAGCTCCAGTGCAATTTGGTAATAACTGTATTGCAGTCTCACAGTAGTTTCTTCTCACTCAAGTGATTGACAGAGTCAGTGATGAACTGTCTAACGCAGAATCAGGAGTTACATAGCCAGTTTAAGAATCCAGTTATTCCAAGTAGTTACCTGCTTGAAACGCTTCAGAAATATATATCCATTTGGGCAAAGTGCCTTTAAACTTCGCCTTCAAAGTTTCAAATTTGCTTTTTGTTTTCTCCAAAGCGGAATTAATTCCAGTCTCTTTTATTTTAGCTCAGTTAGTCACTCGCTATGTCAAAGGCAACAAACAGTTTTTTCACACTTGGTTTCAAAACATAAGCTAATCAAATCACCGAGACGATATGCTTGTCCATATTCTTTCAACTCACAATCCATAATATAGATATTAGCTGATCAGCACACTCAATCCAATAAATATAAAGTAATAAAAAAGAAAAACATAGTGAATTTAAATAATGATATTATTTTATCTTGAATGATTACAGATTATTTTATTGATTCAAGCTCTAAAAAATGAAATAGAAAATAAATAAAATTAAATCTCAAAGACAACGTCTTTAAATGAAAAAATACAACCATCATTGTTTATTGCTTCAAATTGCATGTATACATACACACATATATTTACAAACATTTAATGGAATTAATTAACTAACATTTAAATAAATCCACACTTCCTTTATTAAATTGTGTTTTCACTTTATGAATGTGTTTGATACAAAAATGTAAAGTCTTACAATTTTTAAAAACTTGTCCCTTTCAGCACCTTGAGAAATAAATTACTTTTCCCTGTTTTAGAAGTGGCTTGACCCATGCAGAAAATGTTCTAAATCATCCTTCTCTGAACCCTTGAATGTTGACTGAGTAATCTGTTTCATTTTGCTCGAGGGGAACATCTCCTTCAAAACTTCCTAGTCATCACTTAACTGAGATGTCCTTGACATCATAGGTACAATATTACAGGTACTCTCAAGGATGCAAACACTCTGACGAGTAATAGATGGCAGAACTATGAGATGAATATGGCAGCTCATCCATTGGCTCTGCATGGCCCCAGACTCTTCCGTGATCCATGTTTGTATTGGTAGTATACCTCCTAGTTCGGAGAGGCTCACCCCACTCCTTAGTCCATTTACTTCATAATTTGGTGCTATTGGCAGACTTTATCCACAAATGACACCTCCAGTCTCTCCCTGACGTTGTCAGGTGGCTTCGACCAGAACTATGGTTGGGTTACACTGGCTGGTATAAGCCTGGGAGTCCTATACAGACTATCTCATTTGATTTCAAACTCACCAGATGCTACACCACTGCAACAATCCTCAGTCATCTGTGTTTCCTTTGCACAAGTCAATCCTCATGGAAAGAGCATGGTGAAACAATAACATATAAGGGAAAGTTGAAAATTAAGCTAATAGTGAAATACACACAAGAAATGATTTTATCCCCGAATTAACTATTTACATGTAATGGAAGTATTTTTAGTAGGGCTTACTTGCAATTTTTGCATTGAGTACGTCTTACTGTCAGAAAACAATTTATATAAAGTAGAAAGTTACAGTTCATGTAAGCATTCACTTTGAGAACATAAACACACATTCCATTTTTATCACATGAGCACAATTTTCGCGCAAAGCTGACCAGGACGTTTATGTTATGGCCAAACTTTCATAAAAATGATAAAGAAAAAAGTATCAAATCACTAGGAAAGATCGAAATTATATCCTATTTTCTCAGTAAGATTAATAAAAACCCGTTAACACTTGGTTTATAATGAGGAAACTAATGACACATAAAAGAGAGTGAAGGTCAGATCCACGAAGCTAATGAACTCTTGGAGGGAGCAAACATCCATTCAAATTCGTCCTTAGACCGAGAGCATCAGTAACCTCGAGCTAATACAATCTTCATGTAATACAGAGTTCTTTATAAAGAGCTAGCTCGTGCCCATTAACATTATTTCATAAATAGTGCCAACATATTGCATACCAGTCAATTAGATTGCATAGCAAGAGATTTGTTTAAAAGTTGAAGTAAAATCACTGTTAGAGAGTCTGCCATCAGTCTACCGAGAACCTGCTCGAAGTTTGCACAAAAGAAAGTCTACTCTACAGACATGGAACAAGCTTCAGCTCCTGTATGAGTTGTATTTTATGTTGTTTAAACTGGAATGTTATTAATAAGCTAAAGTCTGAAAAATTGTTTTATATTTTGAGTAAAAGTACTATATTATAGGAAGCAGAAAGTTTATAACATTGTAAATAGAATAAGTTTGAATAAATACAATGTGTTTTGTTAATCATAAAGCTCCTATCTGTTTTCCTTGTTCTTAGAGAGACTTCCTCTAGTTGGTGATCTGTACAAAAACACAACTGACTGCATTCCTGGTATTTCAAATAAATATTAATTATAACAAGTAACTATCCATCAATAGTTCCTGTGACAATGGACAACCATTCTGGGTGCTCTAGACATTGGCAGCTCTTCTTCCTCATACAATCATCTCCGTCAGTAATGTATTCCAATCTTGGTATTAAGTCTTTCTATCTGTGTAAAATGTCATTTCTAACACTAAGAAGCCTTTTAAAATTTAAAGTACAAGAGTTCAAATCGGGGTCAGTACACACGTCAGCAGAAACAGCACATTACAATATGTTGTTGCCACGGCACCAAAATTTTCTTCTTCCTATTCACTCTGTGGTATATTCAAGTCAAATCGATTTTATCTAATTGACAAACAAATTGTATGCACTTGCTTTCATTAAACACCATAAGATTCTACTGGATGTGATATCTTCAACTGATCAGGCCAAATTCATCTATCAGACTGTTTAAATCTGACATTCTGTACTTTGCATATAACGTCAGATTTACACTGAGTGGTTAATGATACTTTTGTGATTTGTATACTAGTACTCATTCTAACATAATTGAGGCTATAACGTCGAAATACAACCTATCGTACCATTGATGTCGACATCCTTGCATAACCTGCAGTATTACGTCAATATCTTTCATTGCAGAAAAGGTATTATCTCCTAGAGAATTACAAAGGTAGTAAGAACGAAATGAACTTAACGGCTTTCTCGATAACGTATTGTTACGTCTCCGTTTGTTAAATTGTTTTTCCGTAACTTCGTTCCGATGAAACTTTAGCGACAGTCCTTACTTAATAAAACTGGTTTATTCTTTCCGAATATAACTTTACGATACACTTAATTTCAATATTCGCGCAAAAACAAACACCATAACGAACGAATGTTAACTTCAAAAATACGTCTCTCTCTGACTGCAGTTCAATTACTCACTACCTACACACACATTACCTTACTCTCCCGTCACGTTGTCACCCTCTTTTATATACCAAACTACCCTATATCTAGTAAATACTAGAGCATTCGCCAAGGTACGGGATAGTTCTAGAAACTTGGTGTCACACTAGTCATGTGACTCGCTGACGCAACACTGCCCCCTCCTTAATATTGTTCGTCCCGAACAATAACCACATATAATAAACCAATAACAATAACTTAATTAAAATGAACGTTATAATGTGACGGTCAATT